GTACAGAGGTTCACACACTAGTTACTTTACAAACTATAGACAGTACACTCAAAACAAAATTAACACTGACTAACAATGATACGACTAATAATAATAAAAAATATAATATAAAGAATTGTGCAAGAATAAAAAAATAAAAAATTGGGGGTTAGCATTAGCAACACTGAAGGGCTAACACTGCTTAGCAACAGTAGCTTGTGAAGTCCAAAAAGGCACGTTTCCTGTAGTTGGTTCAGTTCGAGGCCGGTCTGTATTCACACCAGAGTTTGTATGGAAGTGGACAGAAGACCACCTCAAAAATTAGTCTCTGTTGGTTGTTTGATGTGCACCAGGGTTCACGAGTGTATTCACAACTGCATAAAAGGTCCGGACCACCGGGAGAAACAAAGGGGACCAAATGTGTCAAGTTAGGTTTTTCATGTATTCTGGGAAATACTGATGATGAGTTGAGACTAAAACACAGAGTCAAGGCTAAAAAGCTWTAATATGTGATAATAAAGTTTGTATTMGTTTCTATGTTCWGCRCAATACATGAGTTGAAACGTGATGACAGTGACATTTAGTAAATTAGCTCTAGAGCTAAAATAGATTAGCTCGAAGCATAAAGCTAAAGCTAACAGGCTAAAGCTGAGGTTCTTCTTTCATGAAGCTCTGTTGTCCATCCATCATTTTCAGTTTCAGGCTGAGTCATTTCTACCTTCTCCTCTCTGTCAGAGTGCTCAGGCTTCATTTAGAAAGAGCTGAACATCAGACATCATCTATAATTTATTGTTCAAGCTGGAGAGATGTTGCACCACAGCAGCCAGTAAACATCATTTACCCAGAATGCTTTGTGTCATCCATGTGACAGTATACACTTTATATAATTTTTTTTCTGTATAAAAACTAAACGGCCTACAACATATTTACAGTATGGTTATTATAGTTGTACATGTTTAACAAATAAATTTAAATGTTACAGCTAGCTGGAGTTRAGCCTTACTTGCACTCTTCATCCAGCAGGTGGAACAGCGCCGTGGGCTTCTTGCTGATCAGGTCGATGCAGCCCGTGTTGTCGATGTAATCGATGTTTCTCCAGCTGATGCCCTCCGCCCTGTATTCCTCCTGCAGGGTCAGGCGATAAAAACAGACAGAACATGTTATTCATTTGTTTTAACAATTAAAACGGGAAGGTTCTTGGCATTCTCTGATGTCTGCAGACTCTGTCTGAACTCTTCCCGTTTTAATAATGAAAGAGGCATTCAGAGCATTTGTCATCATTCTTCCACATTAATGCTATTTTCCTGTCTTCCTGGGAAACAGATTTAACCAATAAAGACTTTAATCCAACGGGGGTTTGAATTAAAAAGGAAGAAGAAGAAGAAGAAAAAAGCACGGGAATCTTAGTTTTTCCAGCTTCTCTTGTTGTTTGCCTGAAGTCAAAGAGCTGATTATTAAATCAACTGAACTGACACGGTTAGTTTTAACGTTGCTGTAAGAGAAAATGGGTAAATATTCCAAAGACAAGTATAATTTTATTATAATTAAATAAAAAATTACCATCTCTTTAGAGAATCTGATGCTTATACAGTACAAAGCTGTTTCCATCAAATTAACACTACAAACCTAACCTAACATTGGATCTGCTTTATAAACTTGTATGAAAGAGGACAGTGAAGCTCGTTGTGTGAACAGACACATTTCAAACAGCAGAAATCTCTTAACTGAAGAYGTATGTAGTGATGTTTAATGCAGTTTAACAGTAGTGCAACAAACGTATATGARGCWTGTTATTGAGTTTGTGAGTCAGGAGGGAGCTGAGTCAGGTGTTGGTCTGTGGAGAAGCAGCTCAGCACTGAGCAGGACACAGGACCCACCCCTTCCATCACATCAGGTCAGATTCATATCAATGAAAGACACTCCTCATTTTTATTAAACTAAACAAAAAACATGTCTCTCAAAATATTTTAAAAAATCTGCCAAATGGAAATGTTTCTACAGACTGAAATAGAGTTTTATTGTAAATAATGCAAAAAGCATTTTCTCTATTGCTGCTGTAGAACTTTAAATAATTTTAAGCTAAATGTGTGAGATTATGGATAAATGAATCATTAGCAGATTTCTGCAATAGAAAATCACAACATGACAGAAATTAATGAGAATATTTTTAATTGTCAGCATCCATTGCTTCAGACTTTAACATTAATCAAAAACCTTCTTTGCCTAAATTTGTGTTTTAAATGAACAACAAAGTTATCCTTTGACTCCTTCAAACTCAACATGATCATTAACTCATTATTAAGAACTTTTTTCGAGGTAAATGAGTTGCTGCTGATTTGTTAGTTTATATCTGAAGTGTTGAATCATCCATTCACTCAGTCCAGATGTGGTGGAGCAGAGGAACCTCTAAAACATGAAGGATGGGGGCCCTCCAAGACCTCATGCATCAAAGAGTGCAGCTTTCATACTGAAGGTCGACATGCAGTACGGGACAAATTGGAAAAATTGCGTAATAGAAACATTCAGATTTATCAAACTGTGTGCACGTGTTCTGCTCTCCTTTCTTTCATACATCCCATCTAATGTGTAATGGATGAGGCCCCTCTCCAACGCCTCCATTAAAATCTGTAAACATTTTCATAAATTCACTGCGGACAAAGAAACAAGCTGATCAGAACTGCATGAAACGACTAAATGGACAACTTCAAACAGGATTATGGGGTTAAAAAAATATTGACTGGCAGAGAAGCCATTTGGAACATAAGAGCAAACAAATACAAATATAATAAAATACGTTTAATTGAACATCGATGTGCCCTTAAGCAAATCATTTAGCAGGTCAGACCAGAGCGGAGTGACTCACAGGCTGGCAGATGAATGGAAATACTCAGTAACTGTATCTGAGGGTGTGAGGCAGGCTTGAATGGAAATATGTAGCAAACCAGTTTTTGGACAATTCATCCCAGCTGAATCCTGTTCAGAGGCTTCGTTTTCCCCACACATTCTGCTAACCACGTCCTCCACCTGCCCTTTTTAACAGGATCACGTTAGTCTGTGAGCACGGTCATTATCATGTACCTTTGATTGGAAAACAAGAAGTAGGATTGTCAGAAATATAAATGGTGAGTTCTTATTGAAATTACAAACATTGGATGGCTTTAAGCTTCTTCAACTTTAATGAGAAAAAAAACTGAGGTCATGTTTCACCTGACAGGAACCCTGGAATCAAGCTTTCCTCTCTGGCTCCGTTTGATAAAGAGATTACCACCAATCTAACAGTACAAATTGATCCTTACATGAAATTAAACACTCATGTAAACTCKATTATTAAATCCTGACTGACCAAATTCAAGCCCATTCTTTGACAGTAATCTTGTCATTATTTCACGCGTTCATAACTTTAAACAAAATTGCTCGTTTACATCTGGCTCAGAATGCAGGGGACAGATTTTTAACTAAGATCTTGTAGGTTTTTAAATGCCTCAGCAGCTCTGGCCCTCTTACCTCTCTGATCCTATACGTCCCACTGCGCTCCCTCAGGTCAGCTGATCAGYGGTTTTTAACAGTTCCTCGCTCAAGACTCAAACACAGAGGGGATAGATCCTTCTCTGCTGCAGGTCCAAAGTCGTGGAATGATCTGCCATTAAAAGTCAGGCAGTATGCCTCTCTCAGATTTTAAGACACATTTAAAAGAAACACCATTATTCTCTTGCCTTTGACTGAGTGAGTTGGTTCTCAACAGTATTTTGAGCATTTCTACTGTTTCCTGGTTCTCTGTTACTATTATTATTATTGTTTATATTTTCATTTTCTTTATAATTTTTGTTGATCTGGGTATCTCATCCTGTGCTCTATGTATCTGTTGTATTGTACAACATTTTGGTTGGCCGTGTGCCATTTTAAATACTTCATAAATAAAACCGGTGTGGTATTATTCCCGCTGTCTTTGCAACACGTTAGCAAAGCTAGAGTGTAAAAGTCATGGCTGCCTCTTGGGGAGCCAGCCAAGCCACCCACAAACACCACCTAATGACCCCAAACCAACCCCATTTTGCCCTCCCAACTACCACTTAATCAGGTGGTCAGGAGGACCCCACCGCCACACCAAACATTAGTGGGGTTCGAGGGTTACTAAAATCCAAACAATTGGCAGATGTCCCARCTCCGACCATGTGCAGCATTTTTTTCCCATCTTGAATCTAGAGATGCACAATACAGGGCGAGTCAAAAGACTCAGGAAGAAAAAATATATATATATCTAAATACTCCAGCAAGGAATGGTTGAGGGGTCCTGTTTTTTTTAGGCCCAAGCTATGTTTACATGCATAACGGTGTATGTGTTTACATACACCAGGCTTTTATTCAGAATATAATTACTGATATGCACAGTGTTGTAAACTTCCCAAAAAAAAACAAACAAAAAAAAAACAGTTCTACTTCCGTGATGAACATAAACAACTGTTCTGTGTCTTCTGAGCACCCAGAATGGACCCGCTCCAGGTTTTAATAACAGTGGAGACGTTACTGCACTCTCTGATTGAGCTGCAGGCGAAGCAACATGTGACTTATGGTGCGTTCACACCAAACGCGATTTCAGCGTCAGGAGCAGCAGGTTTACATGCAAAGTCTATGGTGGACGCGCTTCAAGCAACGTCGGGAAGTTCTGCGGCGCCTCAAGCGCGATTAGAGCAGCRCGATTTGGACGATTTGGACGATCTGAGCGTCGAACGCTCAGATCGTCCAAATCGTCCAAATCGCTGAAGTTGGGAAATCTGAACTTTTGCAGCTCGACGCGCAGCGTCAACCAATCAGAGAGACTCCACTGTGTGACGTAGCGACATATTTCCCGACGGGACAGTTTACTGAATGATGTCCACTAACCCGAAACAGACGGAGCTCCTGCTCTTTAGCTGAAATGAGTGCTGCAGTCGTGTCCTGATCCGCAGCAATGCGTGACAGCGACTCATCAGACTGAAAAAAATAGTCCTGAAAGCGAGCTGTGAGCCTCTTCTCTGAATTATCTGGTGAATTAATTATGAATTAATTATCTGATGAACGTGACACGTTCTGGCTGTCTGTAAATAAAGCAAAGCCACTTCCTCGTCCGACATTAAACGGAGCCCGACAGAGGAGGGAGGGGCGGCTGTCGCCGTGCGGCGCTTCAACAACTGTCCTGCGTCTGACCTCAAAGTGCACAAGCTTCAGACTTCAGCGTTGGCTGCGATTTTGAAGCTGAAATCGCATTCGGTGTGAACGCACCATTACTGTATTTATTTATTCATTTTGTCGGAGCAGTGAATGCTGTTTGTCTTCCTTCTTTACCGGAAGAGAGAGCGGGAGGAAATAAACATCCCTGAAAGCTCTGTGCTGCCCCTCCCTCCACAGAAGTCATGCAGTCAGGTCAGTTTTCCACAACCAGAAATACATGATCAGAGTTAAGTGTTTACATCCACTCTGTTCAGATTATCAAATAAACCATCCCTCTCATTCAAATTACAAATTCATTCAGATTGAACTGAATCAGATCAGAATATTCTGATTGGAGTGTTTACTTGATGGATTTTTATCCTGATTGGCCATTTATTCCGCTTACATATGTCCATGTAAACATAGCTTCTGTCCAGAACATGACCGCCATATAGAAATACATATGAAAGTTAAAATTAATTCTGAGACTTGGAACGTATTACAGCAGTATATTTATTTGAGTGTTTCCAGTGCATACAGGCAGAGAGAGACTGCAGACAGAGCAGTAAGAAGGAGGATGACTTATTAACTGACTTTAGGATAGAACTGATCATGTTACTTTAAAGGCGGCTCACACAGACACACATGATCCACTCAATACCTGATGTAACCAAATGGTTCTAACTGAGTGGTCACAAATTATTGCACAAACTTCCCTTGTTTTAGAGTCACTGTGACGTTTGAAGGATTGTAAAAGAAGACATGTGTTTATTGGCTTCATCAGTTAAAGATAACGCACCTGTTCGAGCTTGAAGATGTGCTGGTTGAAGTAATGCTGAAGACGCTCGTTGGCGAAGTTGATGCAGAACTGTTCAAAGCTGTTGTTCTCGTAGTCCTCAAAACCAAAAATGTCGAGCACTCCGATGGACAAAATCTGAGAACACACACAAGGATTTTCACCGTTTGTCTAAAATCTTTGGATCGTCCTGAACGTAAGAAAACCGTATCTTTCAAGTGAAGCTTCAGAAAGACTGTCATCAAAAGATCGATAAAGTAAATGCTTTTATTTTGAAATCTCACGGTCGTAAGACAGCTGATAAGTGTGGTCTGATTTTACCTTGGTGGTCTCCTCCAGGTCCTTGATGTTCAGCAGAGCGTGGTTGATCCTGAAGACGATCCAGTCAAACAGAGCACTGTACAGAGACTTGGCCATGGAGTCTCGCACCGTGCCAGCCTGAATCATGGATAACATGGATATTAGTTATAAACATAAAATAAACCTACCTGAAAATATTWAAACACCTTTGTTTTTGCTCYCATTTTGCATGAGCTGAACTCARAYCTCCAAAACTGTTCACAAATGTGTRTAAACCTGTTAGTGAGCACTTCTCCTCACAGCCGTGGCCTATCAAGACCCTGATTAGACAGAATGGTTGCTGCACAGGCTGGACACAACAGGCCACTTTAAAATGTGCAGAGAAGTACTCACCTGTTCACCATTGTTTTACTTTGAGTTTCACTAAAATACATCCAGTAGTTCATGAGAWATTTTGCTAACAGCCAAACAGGGTTGACTAGAACAGTTAAGGCTACAGTKTGAAGCAAAGAGGCAGCCCTCTGAGAGCATGTTGGGGAGGACTCTCAGCTACGATCACCACATTTTAGCTCCACATCTCTTTAACTTATSATGTTAAAACCATTTTTGTTTTGTTTTTAAGTTTGATCAGCCCAGATACATACATGTCAACTTGTACGGACCRTCCGTAAATAAGGATTTTATGTCATTTTGCAGGTATACGGACGTATAGAGTAATTTCACGGAATTTTTGAAGTCTTACGGACTTTTTCAAAACCTCATTTTCAAATTTATSTAACATGTCAGGGCCTATAGGATTCTGTTCTGCCGCTAGAAATAAGTTTTGAACTTTTTCCTCTTTCCTTTCCTCCTGCTTCGCAGAAGACGCTTTCATTACCGCAGCCAACAGAGTTTAGGTTCTTTAAATCCAGCACTGATCGTCAGCCTTACTGTCCTCCTGAAGAGACAAACCGTGTAAATTCCTGCTTCTGCTGGAAAGATTTGACCTKTCTGCTCCACAGGGGAGCCAGAGTCTTCAGAAACTAAACAAGCAGCTATACCCCACGTCAAACAACCTCCATCTCCAAATATCTAACCAGAGGATTTTAAAGCACACCAATTACGTCTTTATTGCGTCAGGACGGATATTTTTCTAACCCCCTCTCCTCCCCCCGTACAGAATGCGCTTTAATGACCTGAAAGCTTTTCATTAATAGAAGGAAGTTGGGTTCAAATTGTTTCCAAAGCCTCATGAATCTGACCAAAAGAGAGGAAACGCATCACTCAGATTTCTTTTATGTTTGCGTCGTCGTTCAGTTAACGGGCGACGAGGCTGCAGGAGCGATGTTCACACCCAGACCACCCAGAGTGCTTCTAAAACAATCAGTGATCCAGCAGGTCATTACGAGGTTCAGTGGGAATATTTACTATCTTCTGAAGAAATGCTGTCAGGACTGCTTCAGTAAAATGAAACTATTAAAGACTTTATTTCATTACGATTCATTTATTTATTTATTTATTTAAAAAGGACAGTGACCTAGCCTGGCCCTTGTCTTCCTATGCAGCTCAGCTCAATTCTAGTTTCCCTTCACTGCTCCGTCTGGGACTTCTCCCATTGAGATGGATTTCACTGGCAAATTTTCATTCAGGCCAATCAGAGAACAGAACATCAATTTTCTGCGCAGTGTCTGCTTGTAGTTTATTTTACCTGCGTCAATCAGCAAACAGAAGGAGGAGTTTTGAACGACGTCGACTTTCTGCGCAGTGTCTGCTAGTTATTTTAGCATACGGCAGTGGAGGAAGTGAATGAAGCCAGTCCGTATTGATAAGGCTTCCAAATTAAAATAAACTTGTCTGACAAAGCAGCAGCTCTCATTTACAGTCGTCTCGTTCGGCTCGGTACTTTTCTCCTCTCAGTAGGGTTGTTTACAGCRCACRCGATTTCCGGTTAGCTTCTTAGCTTAGCCTCCGTCACAGCGACATACGTCGCAGCCAACTGATCCAATCATTTTAAACTTCAGCAGAGGCCACGCCTCCTGCAAGAAATCGATTCTCTATGCATCAAGTCCAGACCCTTGTACGTAGCAAAGTGAAGGACAGGGTCTGGTTTTAACCAGGCTAACAGTGAACAATAATCAACATTACATCTGCATAAGGGAGTTCTGAGAAAACTGTGGACTGAGCCTGAAAATTTGAACAAACACACCGTACAGGCCTCTCCCCCTCGCTGCACGACATTTACCCTGTCCATAGCTGTTTCCATTGACCACGAAAATGTGCAAATTAGAATTTCAAAAATAAATTGCTTAATGGAAACACATCAATTTAGAAAAAAACATGTTTTTCGACAAAATGTTTTGCGCTAGGGTAAGGTGGTTTTTCTGCAGTTTTAAAATTGGTGTATTTCGCAAAACTGAAATGGAAACACTTTTTTTTGCATCACAGGAGTCACGTGATCAAGAACCTGCTGTTTCTACTGGCGAAAAAGACAAAGAAGAAGACAACAGGAAGTAGAAGTAGTAAAATCACCGACTACAATTTCCCAAAAACGCAGCATACGTAGCCACTCCCAAATATGAGGGGCTTGTCACTCGAAAGCCTCGATAAGACGCCAACGTCTCCTCTGAGGGTGAGCTCTAGTGTTGTGTTTACATCCGTTGCCGCCATGTTTGTAATGACTTATCGCGAGAACAAATGTATTCACGCGTGACTTTAACAGCATTTCTTACTTAATGGAAACACAGCTATTGCTAAACTGTTTTGTCGACATTAACAGAGTATCGACAAAGTTWTGCGCACATTTGCGATGGAAACGCAGCTCATGACTGTCTGTTTCTGACTGGGAGCAGTGTATTTCTACAAACTGCAGCAGGACCACTGGGAGGAGATTAATTTTTTTCTCAGATTAACTGTCTCATATTCTACTGTCAGGACATACTGATAGTTTTAACAGATATGTAAAAAAAACKTTTTTTTCTTAAGTTACCTACTGCAGCTTTAAAGGAAGGCAAAGGAGTTAGCACAGTGGCTAATTATCATCAGTTGTCTTATAATTCCGTCATCCGGATGAGTTTGGAGTTAATAGAATCTGTGYAGATTTGACTTGATTCGGTCAAAATAATTCCATAATGTGCTCTCATCTGAAGACTTGTTTGTTTTCAGAGCRGAGGTCCCAATGAAAACTGTGGGGGGTGCATTCCCCTTCTTGTTGGGGGACTTTGTGTTTGCTAATGTGTGTCTGTGTGTGTTGTCGAGTGGCTGCAGACGAGGGGAGTTGGAGGAGATCCGGTGCTGGTGCACACTGTCCCATAAACATGACTGGGTCAGAGGGAGGGGTCACCATTAAGCCCCTCTTCTCCACGAGCGTGCTTTTAAGCGCTTCTCATTGATTCAGCGTTGGCTAAATGTGTCTCCATTTTCAGTTCCAACTGCGTTTTTTGGATCCATCCCAGTAGGTTGCTCCTGGTCGTTGAGGCCAAGTACTGCACCCCGACTCTGAGCCGAGGCAGAACAAATAAATTTCCCTTGTCTTATTTTCACTAATAAGAAATCAGCATGAAGATACAAACATCAAACGGCTTTCATGCCACTCAAGAGTCAAATGGTGACTGCAAGAACTGTCCATCTAACCAAGTTTTAAAACCTTATATCCAGCCAAAAGTCTTTTTGATCTTGTTTTGAGACTATTTTACTAACAAGAACTGATTGTGTAAGAATAATAATCTTGTTTTCAGAATGTGTAAGATTATTTGTCTTGTTAGCCTGAAAATTTGACTCAAAAAAAATTCTGCCAATGGAGTAAGAAAATTTTACTTGGTAAGATTCTTGAAATAAGAAAAAAATGAGTCAAATCAAGTATTTCAAGAATCTTACCAAGTAAAATTTTCTTACTCCATTGGCAGAAATTTTTGACTTAATTTGAGTCAAATTTTCAGACTAACAAGACAAATAATCTTACACATTCTGAAAACAAGATTATTATTCTTACACAATCAGTTCTTGTTAGTAAAATAGTCTCAAAACAAGATCAAAAAGACTTTTGACTGGATATAAGGTTTTAAAACTTGGTTAGATGGATAGTTTTTAAGAAATTGTTGATTCTGGGGTGAATGTTAGGACCCAGTTTTCTCTCAGAGGGACTCGTTTGCGATTGTCCCATCCAGCTCTTCAACAAGAGGACAAACCAAAAACGGTCCCAAAAACCCCTGTGTGTCTCACCTCGGCCAGTCTGTAGGGAACGATCAGCTTCTCCCCGACTGTCACCGTCTTCCGTGTGGTCAGAGCTTCTATCAGCATCTCTTCTTTCACCTGGTGATGCCAGGGAGACGATGAAAATTAATCAAAACAGTTTAAATGAAAGTAGTAGTATTGTTTGTATGGTGTCTCGGTGCAGCACCTCCAGCAGCTCAGAGACCACAGGCAGCTCCTCTGGGTTGCAGATGTCTATGGAGTCGTCCCTGTAGGTTTTCCTCTTGTAGCGGATGTTCCCCAGGTGAAGGATGGCCGACAGCAGAGAGAATATCCTGTTTAACAGTTAACAAATAATGAAAATATGCTGGAGAGGAAGCACACAGAGCAAACATTTCTAAAGCTACTTGCAAAAGAGAAATCTAAAACAAATCTTTAAGCTTTATAAAAACAGATCATCGACATATATATTTAAAGGCCTAAAGCTCAAAGGGTTTGTTGTGAAACAGTCTGACATCAAATTTTAGCTCGATTAGTAAAATTGACTGAGAGCACTGCCTTAGAAAACACTAAGCCCTCCAGGTACCACCATTACGACACACACTGAGAAAACAAAAAAAACAAACAGCAGTCCAAACTGATAAGTTTACATTATTTTGTGACATGAATTCTAGTCCTGGTTGAAGAGGTGTTTAACTCTCCTGTTATGTTCGTTTCTGAGGAACAGCAATAATCTTCCTGGGTCAGTTTCACCCGGGGCACGTTTATTCATGCTATAGTGTCAGAAACCAAAAAATAAATAAATAAATAAAAATCCCCCTAAACATTTTTATATCTGATTATTAACTTAATTACTATTTCAATCAATATTTGTGAATTGATGTTTTTTTAATTTCAGATAAAGGATCAATGAGGACAATTCACTTGTTTTCCTTAAAAAAAAAAAGGCATGTTACATTTTTTTATGTCCAATACAAAAACATACACCAAAAAACAAAAAAACAATGATTATTCATTAAACTCTGACTGTCTGCCACAAACTTTGAGCCACTGTGACATTAGGGTCTAAAGCAGTGGAAGTTGCTCAAACCACTTGTACCATATTGTCCTGCTAGCGCGCGCTAGCCCCTCACCTAGCAACCCCCGGGTGAGGCTCCACCTCCAGTMCAAAAAGCCGTCAGTTGTTGTTGTGTAATGCGCAGCTCAATTCACAACAAGCCTCCAAYAGGGCAATGGGTAGAGTGTTGGACCAGAGAGCGGGAGACCAGGGTTTGAGACCAACACGTCACAAACTATTTAATTATTTATTTTCATTCGTTATGAACACGTTTTCTCATGTACCTCTATTGTTTTTAGCTTTAGCCTATTTGTTCGAGTTTCAGAGGTATTTTGACCGCTGCTGCTCCAATTACCTGCCCTGCTAACAGCATGCAGAGTGAGCGCAGAGCTCCGACAGGAGGAGGGGGAGCAAAAAGAAAAGCCGTGACCACGACTCTGCCTCTGGGTCTGACTCAGGGTCTCATATATATGGTTGTACATCAGAGCTTCTGTTATTACTAGCCATGCTAATGTAAACGCTGGCTTTGAAGGGCGGAGCTTGGAGGGTGTTACCAACAGAGCTCATTAACATAAACAGCTAATTTTGAACAGAAGTCAGAGCAGGCAGAACTAGAAAATGGGAAATTTTATTATCTGAGAATTATTTTGTGCATTAAATTGAATGAACATGGTCTGGATAGTCCACAGACATACCATAAAAGTTTCTAGGACCCATAATTGGTCTCCTTTAAAAACTTTTTTTTTTACTTTAAAATGGGTCAATTTGACCCGCAACATAACAGGAGGGTTAAAATGTGACAGCTTCATGCCTTGCCTGCTGAGAACATCAAGTACACTTTAGTTTTAGGTCTTCTAAGGCCTGATAACAACTCAATACAAGTTTAAGATACTTTCAGTCAAAATCCATCATGGCTTTCTGACAATTATTGAAAATATTTATAATAATTCAAATGTGTGTCTGTGATCCATGTTGAGTTTTGTGAAGCAAGTTCACCTCTAAAGAGTACTGCAGTTCAACATTTCACAGTATTTGTGTGTCACTCACTGTTTGCGCGTGGCAGGAAGAAATCCCACCATTTCCATGGCCAACTGAAGCCTCTCAAAGTCATGCTTCAGATCCTCTCCTTCAACAGTGAAACAGTCCTGCAGACAATAACAAAACAAAAACACTACAGAGGCTGCTGGGACGGAGCGGCATGAAAACCAAAAGAGCTAATGACAAGTTGCAAGCGAGGTTTAGAAGTCCTCCCTGAAGCCTGTTGACATAAACTGTGCCTTAATGTTTGCAGTGTTTACAGAACGTCTCGCTAACATGCTGAAAATAGTTCATGTTAGTTTAGTTTGTAGCTGAAAGGGAAAAACAGCGAAGTTGCCTGAAGTAGACAAAATAAATGACGCATAATGAAGAATGTCAAGGTCACACAAACAACAAACACTGCAGCCCGACTCGTGAACAGCAACATGTGCAAGTTCTGCTCGTGGAGTGAAAATGCTGGCCCCAATCCCCATCTTTAAAGGCAGTCCGCAGAAATTTGGCAAGCTGGGAAAATAGAGCTGTGAGGAGCAGTAATTTATGGCTTTGTTTGTGTTCAAGTGACGGGTGATGAACTAAAATAGCAGTAAAGAGAAACAGGAGGGACGCTTGCAAATAGAAAATGTCACAAGCAAATTAACTTGTGAATAGCTGAGCTCACTAACAGCAGATTAACATTAAATCATGAGGTCTCTGCAAGAACAGGACAGTGCATCATTATAATAACTACTAAACATGCGACTTGTTTGTCTTTAATAAGACTGGGACATATTTTAATGAAACAACTAATTCAATCACCTCAAGCATCAATAATGTGAGCTCTGCTCTTTGTTCGTCTCACTGTAGCTGCTATAATTATCCTCAGCTGAAGCCCAAACACAAAACCGCATTTTTGACCACCTCCTCGTTCCCTACATGAACTCTAACGTATTCTGCTTCCACAGCAGAAAAGTCAACATTTATTCCTTTGAGAGAAAAATAGATCCCACTACTTTTAAGTTTAACAAATCTGTTAAAAACATGAAAAACACATCATTTACATTTTGACCTAATATCTAAGAATATAGTTGTTTTTCCTCTGATTACACAGGATTATAATCTCAAATGAGACATAAAACATAAATTTACAGTAAGGTTGCCATTTAAATGATGAAAAAAAAAGTAATAAAGCAAATAATAATTTAGCTGTAACAAACAATAAGCTGCTATATTGCTGAATACTGAGCTCACACTTACCTGTCCTCTGCATTCTTCATAATTTCGATTTTAAATAACAAAACCTGTCAGTAGGTCACTTGCATGTGAGCACTGGGAGTGTCTGGAAATGCAGTTTGTTTTAGAATAAAATTCTATTTAATAAAGAAAAAAAAACTGTAGAACAAGCGCGGGGGGACCTAAAGAGTTTCATTTGCCAGATAGTGAACCTGCTTTATTRTTATGAATTTAAGGCTGTGTCAGTGTTTACTGACTTTAATCACCTGTTTAAAAAGCATCAAAACCTAATCAGTAGGTACTATCTTTGCGATGGTAATTTAACGTTTTCACAGGTAAAAAACGTGTGTTACCTGGTAATTTAACATGTTTTCACAGGTAAAAAAAACACGTGTGTTACCTGGTAATTTAACATGTTTTCACAGGTAAAAAAAACACGTGTTACCTGGTAATTTAACATGTTTTCACAGGTAAAAAACACGTGTTTCACCTGGTAATTTAACATGTTTTCACAGGTAAAAAAAAACATGTGTTTCACCTGGTAATTTAACATGTTTTCACAGGTAAAAAACATGTGTGTTACCTGGTAATTTAACATGTTTTCACAGGTAAAAACACGTGTGTTACCTGGTAATTTAACATGTTTTCACAGGTAAAAAACACGTGTGTTACCTGGTAATTTAACATGTTTTCACAGGTAAAAAACGTGTGTTACCTGGTAATTTAACATGTTTTCACAGGTAAAAACACGTGTTTTACCTGGTAATTTAACATGTTTTCACAGGTAAAAACACGTGTGTTACCTGGTAATTTAACATGTTTTCACAGGTAAAAAAACATGTTTCACCTGGTAATTTAACATGTTTTCACAGGTAAAAAAACATGTTTCACCTGGTAATTTAACATGTTTTCACAGGTAAAAAACACGTGTTTTACCTGGTAATTTAACATGTTTTCACAGGTAAAAAACACGTGTTTCACCTGGTAATTTAACATGTTTTCACAGGTAAAAAACACGTGTTTCACCTGGTAATTTAACATGTTTTCACAGGTAAAAAACATGCAATTCTCCATGTGAAGTTACAAATATGTGACGTTAATAAAATGAAACACGAATTAGCAGCGTGTTGTAGAGGGAAAAAGTGAAAAAACAAATGAATAAAAACAGAATCCAGTGCAGTTTTTGAAGTAGAGATTTCTGTGCATTAACATCAAAAACACAACAATTCACACATCATTCTTGATCAATGACGTCTTCCAATCCAGCATTTCTACAGCGGAGTGGGACACTGTCAGTGGAGGAGGTGCTTCCTCTGATTTTTAAATAAATCAGAGTATATAACTAAAATAAGCCATCCTGCATGTTTAAAATGAATCTGATTTTCTTTTTAAAACTGAAGGTCAGAAGTGGAAATGCTGCACTGGTCAATGATCAAAAAGAGACAACACAGACAGTTGACTGTGAGCAGGACACCACTCAACATATCAGCATAACTCAGAAAAAGCAGCCCATAAAACAACTAAGATAAAACACCCGGCACACAAACCAGGAAACAACCAAGAAGCAACAAAAAAATGATTAAAAGGAAAGGGAAGAGTGTGCGACTGCRTTACCAAAAAAACAAAGTGGGTCTTTTTCTAAAAGGTGACAATAAATCTACTTTTCTCCGTACATGTGCAGACACAGAGCACAGATACTGACCGGTTCGCTCTCATAGTAACTGTCCCAGTGCAGCTGCCTCGGTGTCTTTTTCATCTGCAGATGTTAGGGCAGAGTTCACAGGCAGCCAGGTCAGGGTTAGATGGCAGCGTTCAAATGAAAACACAAATTTTACACTTCAACACTCATGGGCAAACGGCAGCAGTAAGCTGAGCATTTCTGTTTGTTGAAGTCAGACATGAACATCAGGAGCTCAGTGTCAGATTGAAAGGAAATATTGAAAAGCACAAACATTAGTGAACGCAGAAACGCTACAGATGAAGATTAAACCAGTAGTGGGCACAGCTAACCCAAAAGTTAGCTACGCTAACTCATATTCCGCTAGCTAAAATGATAGCTTTGCTGACGCTAAACAGCCAAACAAGTAAAAAACTTAGCTAATCGCTAACCGCTAAGACTACTTTCACTCAGTCTGCATCACACATCGTTGTCTCTTCCAAGCTGAAGACTGGGACTGACACAAACCTGTTGATGTTAGTTAGCTGTTAGCGGAAGCTAATTGGTCTCTAATTGGCACGGTTTTCATATTTAGTGAAAATGCTAATCTGCTAAACGAAAAATCAGTACCACTATTAGCTGTTAGCGGAACCATGCCCACCACTGGACATTAAACAAATTTCGTATTTATAAATCACAAAAACCAACTAGTTTTAAGCTTTGTGAATTATGTACGCGTAACGTTCGTCAGTAAAGCAGCATCCTGAGAGCAGACAGGTGGGCCAGAACAAACTACTCAGGATGAAGGCTCACAGGAGAGGAGGAGGAGGATGTGAGCGGTGTATAAGTGTGTGTATGTATACGCACACATGTTTTCATGTGCACACCAGTGGCTGTGAGGAATGGAAGGAATTCCCTGCTCTCCCTCTGCGTAGGCGGAAGGATTTTGGAGGAGGGGACCGGGTCTCTGGTTGTCGTGGCGTGACTCTGGAAGCCCAGAGGCAGAGGGCGCGACAAGTTTAGCAGAACGTAAGCTTAACGTGCGTTTAAAAGTTCGTGTTGAATTTTGGTTTTAAACTCAGCAAAAACAGGAAATTTATTTTTCCTCATTGCTGTTTTTCTGAGTAGCCAAAAATACATTTTTGAGAACCAAAAATGAATGCAAAACCTACACAGAAGCCCACAAATCCTAAAACAATAAAATATCTGTTGTTTCTAAAATAATTCTAACGGTGCAGTTCTGTTGTGTTGAACAGTGTGTCCTTTGTGTCCTGAGCTCTCACTTTCTATTTCTGGACACTGAGAACAACAAACTGATGGCAGAGATGCAAACACTCACAACTCTACACATGAACAAGAAGCATGTTAAACACATCAACGACAAATAAAAACCAGTTTTCCTGGTTTCCTGTTTCTTTGTTTTTAATCGTCTCCTCAGTTTGAGCTCCTACCTGACTGAGGTAATGGTATTCTTCAGGCTTCTTGAGGTGAAAGGCTTGTCTCTCTTCTTCACTTGCTCCTGCCAGCAGGTAGTAAAACACATGGTAGTTTCTAAAAAGAAAAGAAGCAGTTGAATAGAAATGTTTTTTTTTTCTGAACTCAAACTCAGTCGTTAAACAGTCAAAGTTGATGAGGTGGAAGAAGAAGCTGCGCAGACGACTAAACAATCTAATGCCTAAACGAAGAACCAAGAGTTCAAATGTCATTTAAAAATAAAAGTTGTTCTTACGAAGAGTGCACTGATAAACCAAAAGCTGATTTATCGTCATTGGTTTTCTTAATTTTGGGAGACAGGCCGATACTTAGATAAGATCAATCACTCCACAAAGATCTGAAAATCAGCCACTGTCACCTTTTGCTCTGCAGTGAGACGACCTGATGTCCAGTTAAAACAAGTGTGTGTTGTTTCAAGGGTATTGTTCAACGTTTTTCAGTAAAATAAGATTGGAACATTGAAGGTGTATTGTGACATCAAAACACCTGACAGTGTCAGTTATTTAAAAAAATCGATATAGGACAAAATCGGAATGGGCAGATCAGACTTTTTAAAGATCTGTTATCGGACAGAAAACTGCAATCGCTGCAGCCCTATTTCTTACAGCAGGTTCTTTTTCTTCTTCCTCTTTTGCTGTAAGAATGCCTTTRTTTGCCTGAAATTTTCTCAGTCAGCTGTTACTGGTTAGGGAAATCTGAAAATCTGTTCTGTCATTTTTTTATTTCCTCTCAGAGTCATCAACACAGATACATGATAGTTTAATACACATACGTTTTGCAAAAGAAGAACCCAATTGTCTCTGACTCACACTAATGATAGTTTTATAAAATTGTGTTGCTTTAAAAACAGACCTTATATTGTTGGAAATAGGTCTTACAAAAATAATAATAATAAATCGATCCAATTTTAAAAAAATTTAATGAACAAAAAACCTTGGTTGTAACTACAGACGCATCGATGCAAGTTTTGTAGGCTGATACCCATTTTCCGTTATAGATTTTGTTTCAGTGAACCCAAACAAACTCACACATTCATGAATATCTGCAGTCTTGAAACAAATACATTCTCAAATTAATTATGTGATCTGTTCTTTTTTTTTTTTTTTTTTTTTTTTTTTTAAGAAAAATTTTTTTTTTTTTTTTTTTTTTTTTTTTTTTGCTTTAAGACAACTGTATTTTTATTAGTGTTTTTTTCCCATATACACATAAAAGAGTAAATGTGTGCTTTCATCCCAGTCCTGGTCTGACTAACCATTAGCTTAACTCTCCTGAGAAAACCTTTGCTCTGAATTCCAAACTGATTATGCTCCCAGGCATTTCCACTGCAGGTAAGATACTGACAACTCCACGGAACCTCTTAAAAAACACAAACCAATCCATTATTACCCTTTATCTCATTTTTACCAAACTCAAAACATAAAAGCAAATAAGAACATGAGAACCTAGAAAAATTTAATTCTGTCTGTATTTTGCAAACAGAATTAGGTTCACCAATAACTATTAAACAAAAACAACAACAACAACAACAACAACAACTGTATGTTGGTACACACTGCAATCACTACAGCACTGGTGAGTTGTTACGTTTTTCATAAACAAAAGCAATTCTTTGTCACCATAGTCTGTTGCTTTTTTCATTTACTTCATGTCCAGCCAGACTAAACAAGTTCTCACTCTACAAATTATCTTTTGGGTTTCTTTACTCGTGGTAAATAAAAGAAAGAAAAAAGAACTACACTGATGACGTTTGCTGTGGCTTCTGTGTGCTGTGCTGATGGTGCGTTCAAAGACCTAAAAAATGTCAGATTTCTCAGTACTGACCATTTAAAGACCAGAGAGAGAAACATCCTTTAGTGCAGTGTTTCCCAAAGTTGGGTTCAGGACCCAAAGTGGGGTCCCAAAACATCAAGGTGGGGTCCTTAAAAGATTTTCTGAAATAATTACGTTTTTGCCTTAGTTGATACAAATGAGTGAGGTTAGTGTATTTAATATGGATAAATGTAGTATAAAAAATATTGTTACTATGCCCATGTTTTGTTGACCTGATACAAATGTCTATCATCCAAAAATAGTTGGGGGCTCAGGTCTCTGCTACTGTGATTTTGTGGGTCAAAAGCTGGAACCACTGCACTTTGGTTCCCAAAGTTGGGCTTGGGACCCAATTATGGGTCATG